CTCTTCAATTGAACATAAGGAAAAGATCCTTGAATAAACACATGAAAAGAAATCTATTGACATATAAAGGAATGCCAGTTAAATTCACAGGAGACCTCTCACAGGAAACTCTACAGGCCAGAAGACAATGCAGCAACATATTCCAGATTCTAAAAGCTGATCTTGCTAACAAAGATCAGTGCAAACTATCTCATGGATTTTGATGTGTTTGTTGTTGTTCGTTTGTTTCATCTCTTCAAAGCACCGAGTGCCCCTAAATCATTAGTATAGTATAGTCCTTCATACACAGTAATATGTCCATCTGTGCTCTGATCCCGTTTCCTACTAATACACCTGGGAAAACAGCAAAAAACAGTCGAAGTGCAAAAGACCTTCTCCTTGACAAAGATGGGATTCTTGTTTCCTGGCTTCATCTTGGCCAAGCTCTTGCTGTTACAGAAGACAGAAGTGTTTCTCTCTCACACCACCCCTGTGTCTCTCCCACTCTTCTTTTGAACAAATTAGATCTTTTTTTTTTTCACAAAGTGGTAAAATGGAACATTAAAAATTAAAAATGAGGGGGCTAACACCATGGCATAACCTCTGTCTGCAGCAACAACTCAAAATGGGCCCTAGTTTGAATCCCAGTGGCTCCATCTCTAATCCAGCTCCCTGCTCACAGCCTGGGATGACACTGGTGGAGGGCCTAAGAACTTGGGCCTCTGTACCCAGATAAGAGACCTGGAGGAAGATCTTGGCTTCAGTCCAGTACTGGCTGTGCAGCCATTTGAGGAGTAAACATATAGATGGAAGATCTCTCTGTGTTTCTCTTTCTAACTTTGCCTGTCAAAAATAAATGAATCTTTTTTTAAAAAAATCAAAATGAATGGAGGAATGGAGTGCAAATATGGAGTTCTTTATCATTAGTGTTTCTCTTTTCACAAGACAGGTGCTCTAACCAAGCTATAGGGCCCAGTGATTCTCTTTTCTATTTTCCTAGGTTTGCAACCAATATTAAATTGTTGTCATTTTCAAAATAGCTTTTTATAAAACATCATAAGTTTTTTGTAAGCCTGATAACATAAAGCAAAAACATATCATAGATATCAAAATAATAATCAAATTGTCAAAATATCCTGCTAAATAAAATCAGTTAATCACAAAAGAAGGTTGGAAGAGAGAAGAGACAGGAAAAGCTAGAAGGCAAGTTATCAAAATGGCAGTAGTAAGATTGGTACAGTGGCTCAACAGGCTAATCCTCCACCTTGTGGTGCCAGTATCCCAGATGGGTACCAGTTCTAGCCTTGGCTGCTCCACTTCCAAAGCATCTCCCTGCTTGTGGCCTAGGAAAGCAGCATAGAATAGTACGGGTCCTTGGGACCTTGCACCCCACACAGAGACCCAGATGAGGCTCCCAGCTCCTGGCTTCGGATTTGCTCAGCTCTGACCATTGCACCCATTTGGGGGAACAAGCCAGTAAATAGAAGATCCTCTCTCTCTCTCTCTCTGTCTAGCTCTCTGTAAATCTGGTGCCAGCCCCAGGTAAAAAATATTTTCAAATAAAAAATAATAAATGAAACAAGGAAGTTAATTAATAAGTTTGATTTAGTATGAAGAAATAACAATTATAGGTATATACAGTCAAAATCAAAACAAATACATAAAGCAAATATTAATAGACATGAGAGAGGGCAAGATCTCAATACAGTAATAATAAGGAGAGCTTAACATGCTGCCTTCGGAAATGGGTAGATCATTCAGATTTTAAAAAAATCAACAAACAGCAGAGTTAAATTTCACTCAATGTCCATCAGACCTAACAAACAACTAAGTTTTAAAATAGTTTTTAAACTATAAGAGAGAAGAAGCAAACAACACTTAGACACAAGACACAGACAACATTCTATCCAATAGCTGCAGAATACACACAGTTCTCAACAACACATGGAACATTCTCCAGGATAGATCATGTGGTAAATCAGTCACAAAGTAAATCTCAACAAACTCAAAAATGGAATCGTGTTGAGTATCTTTTCTGATCACAATGCAGTGAAGCTAGAAGTCAATAACAAGTAAAACTTTGAAAATTATGTAAGTACCTGGAAATTAAACACTGTGTCCCCATGACAACCAATAGATAAAGGAAGAAATTACGGAGGAAATTTAAAGTTTTCTTCAAATGAATGAAAATGGGAACAAGACACACCAAAAACCTATGGGACACAACAAAAGCAATACTCAGAGGGTAGTTTACAACAATCAATGCTTGCAAGAAAGAACGCAAATAAACAGCTTCTACTGTACCTAAAGGAACTAGAAAAAAGAACAAATCAATTCCAAAATCAGCCCAAAGAAATAACAAAACTGAAAGTACAAATAAATGACACACTGCCTAAGAAAAGAAATACCAAAAGAAATCAATGAAACAAAAACCTGGTTCTTTGAAAAAACTGAAAAACCCCTATCCAGCCTAAGGAAAAATAAAAAAAAAAAAAGATTCAACTGCATAAAATCAAGAGATGAAAACAAATACATTACAACTGACACCACAGAAACACAAAGGATCTTTAAAGATTAATATGAAAAGTTAAATGGCAACAAATTGGATATCCTAGGGACTGGCGTAGTAGCACATCAGGTGAAGCCATTACTTGAAATGCTGGCATCAAATACTGATGCATCAGTTCCGATTCAGCTCCTTACTAAGGAATCTTGGAAAGCAGTGGGAGATGGTCCATGATGGGACCCCTGCCATCAATGTGAATGACACAGATGGAGTTCTAGGTCCTGGTTGCCTCACTTCCATTAAGCTCCTTGCTAATATGCCTTAAAGAAAGCAACAGATGATGGTTCAAGTACTTGGCCCATGCAGGAGGTCCAGATGGAGTTCCAGACTCCTGGTTTCAGCCTGTCCCAGTCCTGGCTGTTGCTGCCATTTAAAGAGTGAACCAGTAAATAAAAGACCTCTTTCTCTGTCTCTTTCTTCACCATGCCTTCCAAATAAAAATTCCTTATAATATATCATGAAATTCTTCCTCTGTTTCTTCTTTTTTAAGATTTATTTTTACTGGAGAGTTAGATATACAGAGGAGGAGGAGAGACAGAGAGGAAAATCTTTCATCCATTGATTCACTCCCCAAGCAGCTGCAATGGCCAGAGCTGCGTCGATCTGAAGCCAGGAGCCTGAAGCTTCTTCTGGGCCTTCCACGCGGGTGCAGAGCCCCAAAGCTTTGGGCCATCCTTGACTACTTTTTTAGGCTACAGGCAGGGAGCTGGATGGGAAGCAGGGCCTCTGGGATTAGAACCGATGCCCATACGGGATTCCAGTGAGTGCAAGGAGAGGACCTTAGTCACTGGGTTACTGTGCTGGGCCGAAATTGTTCTTTTTAAATTTGATTTTTTGTTTGTTTTTAAATGTTTGCTACATAGGCAAGATTTTTTTTTTTTACAAAAATAGGAAAAGCACTATTGAAATTTGTATGGAACCACAGAAGACCACAAAGAACCAAAGCAGCTGTGCGTAAAAACAGTAAGTCATACATTGTATGACTTTAAAATGCAGTACAAAGCTATAGCAATAAAAACAGCATGGGACTCTGCATAAAAGTAGACCCACAGAGCAGTGAAACAGAATACAGACCCTAAAAGTGAGCCAACACATTTACAACCAACTGATTTTGATAAAGATGTTAAGAACATGAATTATGGGGCCAGCGTGGTAGCCTAGTGGTTAAAGTTCTCGCCTTGCACGCGCTGAGATCCCATACAAGTCATTTGTGTCTGGGCTGCCCTGTTTCCCATCCAGCTCCCTGCTTGTGGCCTGGGAAAACAGTCGAGGATGGCCCAAGGACTTTGGACCCTGCACCAGCCTGGGAGGCCCAGAAGAGACTTTGGGCTCCTGGCTTCGGATTGGTGCAGCTCTGGCCATTGTGGCCACTTGGGGAGTGGATCAGTGGACGGAGGATCTTCCTCTCTGTCTCTCCTCCTCTCTGTATATCTGCCTTTCCAATAAAAATAAACAAATCTTTAAAACAACAGCATGTATTAGAAAACAGACAGTTTTTTTTTTTCAATAAATGGTGCTGGGAAAACTGGCTGTCCACATGCCAAAGAATGAAAACTAGATGCCTATTTTTTCACCAAGTGCAAAAAAAATCAACACAAAACGCATTAGAGATCTCATTGTAAGTCCTGAAACTTTGTGTTAGAAGGAAAACGTGTTAGGACACTGGAATGGGAAAGGATTTTTTTAAAATCAGACTCTAAAATCAAACAGAAGCAAAAATATCAAAATGGGATTTCACCAAACTAAAAATTTTGTTTATTTATTTTTTTTATTGTTAGTAACATTGTATTATGTGAAACAGTTTTATAGGTACTGGGATTACCCCCACCCCTCCCACAACCCTCCATCCATGGTGGATTCCTCCACCTTGCTGCATAACCACAGTTCAAGTTCAGTTGAGATTCTTTCATTGCAAGCATATACCCAGCATAGAGTCCAGCATCCTATTGTCCAGACAAGCCCAGTGGCCACTTGGGGCGACCCTCCCTGGTCTGATGGCGGAGCTAGCAGAGTAAAGTCCTGGTCAGTAAAAGCCCCAACAAAACATCAGCAACAATATACAGTGTCATGGAATTAACTGACATAGTATTGAGTAGACAATATGTTAAAAATTTTGAAAGCCAAAAGAAAAAATCAACAGAGTGAGAATACAACCTACAAAATGGAAAAAAAAAGTTTTACAACTGATGAGTGGTTAGTATCAAGCTGCGTGGGGTAACATTTTGAATATTTTCACTATAAAGAAACTTAAATGTTTGAGAAGACAGACATATTTACATTGGCTCGACATTACACAATAGAACACATATCCTAACATCGTATTAGGTTTATGTGTGTGTTTGTTTTATAGTTTTGTTGACTCTGTAAATAGGTTACAATCTTACATATCTAATAAAATTGTTAATCAGTTCATTTTTGACAATTACTAATCTGAAAAAGCAAAAATTTCTTATACCTTATTTGCCAGGGCTAAAGCAGTGACAGCCTTATCAAAATGTTCTCTGTAATCCCATTCCAAATAATTGGTAGCTAGTAAACGTAGAACTTTAGCCTATAATTAAAAATAGAAAGCACTTAGTTGAAGGTTAAATGCCACTAAAACGATTGAATAGCACTCAAAGAAAAAAGCGTCTTCATGAACTAAGTTAGAGTTACAACATAGCATTTCCTGAAGCAACTGCATAATGTCAGCATACGTCTCATGATAATACTATCGATACCAGATATTGTCTAAGGATTATATGATATTGATTATATTTCTGAATTATAATTTAACTGTGTTAGTAAATTTTAAACAGTGTTTGGCATTAACATACTCTAGTTACCACTTTTAAATCAGGCTCAGAAATATCTAATGTGATCACTTTGCCAACTGCTGTATATGTGGTACTGTACTAGGCCTCCACTGAGTGAAATAGATATAATCCCTCTTCCAAAGGTTTTACAGTCTAGTTGTAATTAACTTGTTGGACTAAGGGAATTCACAGCACCACTTCCAAAAGAACAGTTATAATTTCCCACAGAGAATACTTTGCCTAGCTCAGGTATATTTTACAATAGGTAATGCATCACTCAATCAAATTAGTTTCTCCAGACATATCTGCATTGATGAGGGGAGTGATTCTAGCTAGTGTGCACATGTTTAACCACAGATGGACAGTTTCAAAAGAGGAAACCTATTCAATAAAGTATGCTTCTAAGTATAATGAAGATGGTAGACCCAGAAAAAAGTGTTGAGCACATTAAGGCAATGTGAATGTGGCAAACATTTGCTATATTTCACCTCCGAATTTTTCATTCCTAAGCTAAGATGCATATAAGGTTTATAACATATCGTTATTCTTACAAACTAGCTCTCTAAGAATTTATAAGCTTGCCTAGAGGACTTTCATGGAATAAAAAGGGAACCTCTGAAAAATACAGCTTATTTTGATGGAATTTTAAAAATCTGGGCAATTTTTCATATTATGTAATCCCATGAAGACCCTCATACTATAGTGAACTCATAATAATAAAAGGGTCAAAAGAGTAGCAACCCATAAAATGGATGAATATCAAATGAAATGAAAGATGAAAACAGACATAAAATAGTACACAGATCATCAATCTATTTATACAAGGCTGAAGAACAGCCGGATGAAAGCTGTGATGAAAGTCTGAATTGGCATGGGATGCCTGCATCTTGTCTTAAAGCACTGATTCAAGTTCTGCCCTACATCATTTACAACCCAGCTCCCTGAAAACGTGCTCTAGTCCTTGTGATCATTTTACTTTGTGCCTATGACTCTGACTATTCTAGGTATCTTATAAAAGTAGAATTTGTTAGGCACAGCGCAGTAGTCTAGTAGCTAAAGTCTTCGTTTCACATGTGCCTGCATCCTGTATGGATGATGATTTCTGTCCCAGCAGTCCCACTTCCCATCCAGCTCCCTGCTTGTGGCCTGGGAAAGCAGCAGAGGACAGCCCAAATCCCTGGGACCCTGCACCCGCGTGGGAGACCCCCAAAGAGGCTCCTGGCTCCTGACATTAGATCAGCTCAGTTCCAGCCATTATGACTGCTTGGGAGTGAACCAGTGGATGGAAGATCTTTCTATCTGTAAATCTGACTTTCCAAGAAAAATAAATAAATCTCTTTTTAAAAGTAGAATTTGTTATTCTATGGATGACTTATTCTTATTTAATGTCCTCACAGTTCATACTATAGCATATGTCAGAATTTGCTCACTTTGAAAGCATGAATAACATTTCATTATATACACTTCTGCTAGTTTTATTCTTAAAACATAAGCTTTTTTATATTTTGTGTCTTTTTTATTTCCTATATATTACAATGTTAGCTATACAATATGCTCCATTATATTTTGGCAAATTAATGCAGAGATGAACTTTTTTCAAGGCTTCTAGGATCAGATCTGTTTTTAACCAGCTTATTAATTTATAACATTTGAAATACAAAGAGAGAGAAACAGACAGAGAGCTTCTATCTGCTGGTTCATCCCCAACACAAACTTTGGACCAAGCCAAAGATGGGATCTAGGAACTCAATTCAGGTCTCCAACGTAAGTATCAGTAACCCAATTACTTGAACCAAGGCTTCTGTCTCCGGAGGTGCTCAATAGTCAGAAGCTAGAATCAGGAGCGAAACCAGGACTCTCATACAGGATGTGATATTCCAGCAGTGACTTACCTGCTAGGCTAAATGCCCGGATCCAAATGGATGTTTTCAAAATTCGATTTTACTATGACAAGCAGCAATTTTATATCAAACTTATTCACATCACCTGTGCTTTGCTTGCTAAAATATTAGGATTAGCGTTCATAATCAAGTATATTCTATCTGGATGGTTGGGAAACAACCTGGAATTTTAAAGTGTACAATAATAAAATCTAAAATTTAGGTATAGCCAAATATTTTTACTGAGTTTTATACATATTAACACATGGGTAAGCTTATAAGGGTAGGTTATACTATTGTACACATATTCTAGAGAAAAATGCACTGATATATTAAATAATGTACCCAATAGATAATCAGTTCATAAATTTGGAGTAAAATTATTACAAGTTTTTAACACCATAAAAAGTGTTTCTTCAACCTATTTCTCCAAAACTTAAGATGATACTTACATTCATTTCAGATTTAGCAGGACTTCTATTCATCTTCCCAATATCAAAGCTTTGTCTATAAATTAAAATGGAAAAAAGTATGTGTGTATAAATTCATTCAAATTACATATAATTTTTCATTATAAGTTAGAAATAAGATATTACTATGGTATTTTTCAATTTTTCTATTTTTCACTATCATATATTATTAGTAAATTAATGCATGAAAATCAACTGTAAAAAACAAAGCTTTCTAACTTCAGAAAACAACAATTTCCTCAGGAGATACTAAGTCAACATTAAATTATGTTTATATTCTTGTTTCTACTATCATTAAAATAGTTTATAAATGTATTCAAGTTATTACCTAATGGATGCATTTTAAACTCTTAGAATTATCAATATACTTTAAATAAATGTAGCTTTTATCATAGAAGCAAATGTGCTGTCAATATTCATTAAGTCTCCCAATATCCTTGGTTCCACTCTTGTTTCCCTTTTGCCGTTGAATGAATCAATACAACACTGAAGTAATTTCTAACATAGCCTATATTGGTACTGAAAAGAGAATGAGAGGTTGGGAAATAGAATTTCGACTTTCAGTTTTCTGCTTTAATTAACAAACCATATTACCTGAGGGACATTTTCATAACCACAAATAATATAATATGAGTCTCAATGTTTAAAAACCTAAAGCTAAAAAAGCAAAGAATAATAATAATAACAATAATGTACCATAAAATGGTAAAATATTTCAGTAAAATCTTGGTAAATTTAACTAAATTGAAGACAACACTTTAGAATTAGTGAATTCAAAATGAGCTGACAAAAGAACCAATGAAGTTGAAGATGGAACATTTGAAATTATCTATTCAGAGCAGAAAAAAGAATGAAGAAGATCCATGGGAATTATCAGATACTATCAAGTGATCTAACTTAGGCATAATAGGAATTAAAGAAAGTAAAGAAAGAGAAATGGGGCCAGAAAGCATATTTAAAGAAATGTTAGATGAAAACTCACCAAGCCTGAAAAAAGCAGCCAAAACCCAGGTAGCACAGAAATCTCTAATTAAATACAACACAAACAACAGGTCGCCATAACATATAACTATCAAAAATAAGCACAAAGAAAAACTTTCAAAAGCTGCAGGAGATAAGAAACATATCACCTATAAACAAAACCCATTATGGAAACATTACATATTGAAGCATACGGGATAAAGCAAATGCAATTCTAAGAGGGAAGTTCCTTGCAACAAATGCCTGCACCAAGAACATAGAAACAAGTGAAAAAACCACACCTAGCAATGCATCATCTCATGGACCTAAAAATCCAAAAACTAAATGCAAAATTAGTAGAAAGAAAGAAATAGCAATTACAGCAGAAATAAAAGACAAGTTTGAAAAACAACACAAACATTTGATTTTTAGAAACAAAAAAAATCAACAAATCTTTAGGTAGATTATGTAAACAAAGATAAAGACTCAGTGACGAAATGAAGACACTACAGTTGATTCTGTATATATAGAAAGGATAAAAGACTATTGTGGCATCAACACTGTGGCAAAGCAGGTCAAATCACTGCTTGAGATGCATCCATTCAATTTCAGAAGGATCAGTTCAAATCCTGGCTGTTCCGCTTCTCATTGAGCTTCCTACTTAATGTGCCTGGCAAAGCAGTGGTAGAGGGCCTAAGTAACTGGACCTGCTATGCATGTGGAAGAACATATTGCATGGAGTTCCCACCTCCTGGCTTTGGCCTGGCCCAGCTCTAACTATTGCAGCCACTTAAAGAGTGAATCAGCTGATGGAACAGCTCACTTTCCACCTCTCCATCTTTCCAATAAACAATTTAAAAAAATCATTATGAACATGTGTAAACAAATCACAAAACTTAGAAAAAAAATGGGTACGTGGAAGACCAGGAAGAAGCTCCTGGCTCCCAGCTTTGCATCAGCTCAGCTCTGTCCATTGCAGCAATTTGGAGAGTGCTCACAGTGGATAGAAGATCTCTTTTTCTGTCTCTCCTTCTCTATATGTAAAATCTGCCTTTCAAACAGTAAAAAAAAAAAAAAAAAAAAAGTCTAAAGAAAGAAAGAAAAAAAACTGGATAAATTCCTGAGCACATACCAACTACCAAAATTGAAACATGATAAAAAGAAACTAAATGAGATTTAATCGGTAATTGAAAATTTAACATCAAAGAAAAATCCAAGGCCTGGTAATTTCACTGCTTAATTCTACCAAACATTTAAAGAATTAATACCAAATTGTCTCAAACTATTCAGAAAAACTGAGGACAAGAGTTTTTCCAAACTCATAGTACAAAGCCAGCACCACCCTGAAACCAAACCAAATAAAGAAACAACAATCAATTACAGGCCAATACATCTGATGCAAACTTAAACCTTCAAGAAAGTTTACAAAGAATATAAATAAAATACATCAGTGAAAAACAACAGAAAAAAATCAGCAATCCTAAAAGTTAATGCTTTAAAAATATAAGAAAAAAATCTGATGAACACAGATACAAAAACCCTAAACACTCAAACAAATTAAAAAACACATTTTAAAACATCATTCAAGGTGCGTATTTTGTCTAGTGGTTAAGATACCCATTAGGTTGTTGTGTCTTTATTTTAGAAATAGTGTATTTCAAAACAATAAAGGTCATTTGTGACAAAACCACAGCTAACATAATGTTGAACACAAACACAAAAGCAGTTTAAAAACTTTTCCTCTAAGATCCAAAACAAGTAAGGATGCTTATTTTCATACTTTGACCATTCAAGAGGATTAAAAAAGTCACAGAGAAATAGAATCAGAAGATAAGTTCATTCTGATGCAAAATTCTTTGAAATTATAACCCCTGCCTAGTTTTTCATAATACACATTTTCCAAAAATTTTTGAAAATCGCTTTTATGCATAGGCTCAAGGCAATACATCATGCATATTTTTTAAAGATGTAATTATTTTTATTGGAAAGTCAGATACACAGAGAGGAGGAGAGACAGACAGAAATATCTTCCGTCCGATGATTCACTCCCCAAGTGGCTGCAACAGCCGGAGCTGAACCGATTTGAAGCCAGGAGTCTAGAGCTTCTCCTGGTCTCCCGCACGGGTGCAGGGTCCCAAAGCTTTAGGCAGTCCTCAGTTGCTTTCCCAGGCCACAAGCAGGGAGCTGGATGGGAAGTAGAGCCACTGGGATTAGAACCGGTGCCCATATGGGATCCTCGTGAGTGCAAGGTGAGGACCTTAGCCGCTAGGCTACTATGCTGGACCCATATCATGCATAATTCTAACAATATTAACATTAAACATGAACATATTAAATAATACAATCAAGTGGTAAAAATTTTCAGGCTGGATTCAAAACAAGGTCCAATATTGAATCTAAAAGAAATTGAAAGTAAAAGGATGAAAAAGTATATCATGTAAATAATAAGCTTGGGAGTAGCTGTGCTAATATTACATAACATGGACTTCAAGACAACAAATATTATTAGATATAAAAAAGGATTTGTAATGATAAAAAAAAAGACCAGCCCATTTAAAAGTATATACATGCCCTAAATACAAAAAACAAAAAAGTCACAAAAATTACATAATTTGATGATAATAGCTGGAAACTTCATCAACTCTATTTTAGCAATGCATCAGACAACCAGGCAGAATATTTAAAAAAAGAAGAGTTAAATAATACTATAAACCTACTATACCCTGACACACATTTTTAGCACATTCCACTCAGTTCTGATAAGATAATAGATTCTTCCCAAGTGCAAACAAAATCTTATTCAGGATAGAACATATGTTGCCCACAAAAAGCCACAGACTTAGGAGCATTGAAACCAAAAATAAACTGTGGTCTGTGTTCACATGTAATTAAATTTAGAAATCAACAGTAACAAGTAATTGAGGAAATCAACAAGTGTGAAAATTAAATACACATCTAAACAATCAATGAGTCAAAGAATAAATTGCTAAAAGAATTAAAGAATATCTTGGGATAAGTAAAAAGGAAAATACAAAACACCGTAACTTACTAGATGCAGCTAAAGCAGCGCTTAGAGGAAAATTTATAGTTATGAACAGCAATGTCAATAAAGACTTAATATCCTAACTTCTCACCTTAGAAAAATGTTGAAGGAAGAGCAAACTAAACCTTTAGATTTGTAGGCACAAAGGGGAAGAAATCCTAAAGGTTACAAAGAATGTTAACTAAATAGATTACTGGAAAAAATAGAAAAAAAATCAACAAGCCCAAAAGTTAATGCTCTAAAAAGATGAGAAAAAAATCTGAAAAACCTTGAGCTGCACTAAGACTCAAATTATTAAAACAGGACGTAATACGGGACATTACTCTTGCCTTTGTGAAAATGATTCTTAAAATACTAAAAACCTATGGCCTACTTAAATTTCCTTGAACAAATCTGCTGTTCTGCCTACATTTCTGTATCCTCCTCTGTACAAAGTTGAGATTTATCTAAATTAGTCATATTCAAACTTTCTGTAAGCAAGTGAATAATTTCTACAACAAAATCTTAAAAAGACATGTTGGATGAGATGTTGAATAAGGCCTGACATCTGAAGCAAGATGGGTTCTCAAAGAAATGAGACTCCTTTTCCTCTTAAAGAAGATCCTGATACTCCCGTAGCAGAATTCAAGGGCCCCACAGAATATTTTCTGAATTATTCTGCTAGATCATATCCAGGATTTCTTCCAGTTCTAAAGTGTTACCTATCTTAAATTATATCCTGTATTGAAATTGCAAATATAAATTTCATCATATTTCCACTAGATGGTGCTAATACACCCCATTTTCCATTAAAACAGGCTTCTATATAATCATTTTAGCATTTATAATTTTATTACAGTGTATTATTATACACATTTATTTTAATTTTGCAAAATACTATGACTTTCATGTTATTCCCCATTACGAGTCTGTGACACATAATGTGCGTATTTTTCAGGTGACGATATTGTAGTTAAATGACTTAATGCTACAGTTGATCAGTAACAGATTTTTCTGCCACTGTTGATATCTTCCCCTGTATCACATCACCTATA